TTTTTTTTTTTTCTTGACATATATTGCATTATTTGTTTCAGAGGTACAGATCTGAGATTCAACAGTCTTAGTGCATTTAATCTTAAACATATTTTTAGCTCTGTGATTATACGTGTTCAGACTGGTTTAACAAAGAAATGATAAAATTATATTTTCAATGGATGTATATAATTGGCACCTTCTAAGGAAAAAGTTTAAAAGTCAGCAAAATTTGGGGCATTTGGGTGGCTCAGTTGGTTGAGTATCCAACTCTTGATTTTGGCTCAGGTCATGATCTCAGGGTTTTGAGATCGAGGCCAGCGTTGAGCTTTACTGGGCGTGGAGCCTGCTTGGGATTCTCTGTCTTCCTCTCCCTCTGCCCCTCCCCCCCCCCTCTGTCCCCCCCCCTAAAAAAAAAAAAATCCACAAAATTTTGGCAGATTTTAACAATGATTTTTATGTTGTTTTCCTTAAGATAACTGTTTCTATTTTTTTTCATTTAAGCCACACATTCTATCAACATAATCTGAGCTTCATGGTTGTGCTTTGAATATTCAAGTTAAAGGAAATGCTCTAAAATACAAGGTTTTTGAAATATATTTACCTGTATGACGTGATAAGTCCTCCAGATTTTTGACCACAGATGAACCCAGGGCCATGGAATGAATGGTTGAACCACTGCTGAGCACAGTGAGTAAGCAGTTGCCAACATGCTCATCATTTCCACTAGTCACTAATATCATCACAGAGCCATAGGCTTTTCCGTTCAGTTTTTCAACCACCTGAACATAGAGTATCAGTCATTTGGAAGGAAATATAATTCAAATTGTCTCATTGAACAGAAGAATTCACTCATTCCAGATTCCCCACCCATGAGGCGTATGCGTCTTTGAGGTCCTCTGTGGCTCGCTGCTCTCTGTGCCCATCCCATTCTGTCCTCAACTCACTTCATCACAGGACTTGTCACCCTACGTGCCATTGCTGGTTTGCTTGTAGAGAGGGACTCTTCCTGTTTGAATCATCACAACATGACCCTGGTTTAGAATAGGGTCCATGATAGAGGTATGGGAGCACATTCTTATGTGTTATCACTGCCTCCCATCCAGTGGAATGACCAATAAGAGGACTTAGAGCAGTGGTTCTCAACCTTGACTACACAATAGAATTAGATAGGTCTAGAATGACTATATACAGCAGCCAGACATGCTGATTTTGACTGGAAAACCCAAGGGTAAAAATGGCTATAGTTGGGACAGTCCCAGAATGGATAGAGACAGTGTTAGAAATTGTCCAGATGATGCTGAAGTCCCCCAGCCTTGGCCATTGTATTTATTATTTACTCATTCCTTCAACAAGCGTTTATTGAGCAACTGTTATGTGACAGGTACTTTGCTAGGCATATGGTGTTTAATGGTAAATAAGATATGGTTCCTGATCTCAAAAATAATCCATCACTACTGTCTTATAGTTGAGGCTGTTATGACCACACTGTAACAGATAACAATCAGAATCTGTTATCAGAGCAGATAACCCCAAAACAGATAACTACAAAATGAAGGGAAGGAAAGTGATGGTGATTTGAGGCTTGTGGTGCTCTACTGTACCTCGAATCCCTTCTTAAGCCCTGAGCAAATGCTGGTTTCTGCTTCCGCTGACACAGTCATAGGCAGATGTGAAACCAACAGCTTTCGGTCATCATCACTGTTAATTTGGTGTAGTTGGGCTCTGATCTCCCCTTTGCTGTTGAAACTGATGATGCCCACAAAGGTATGAATTTCAACAATCTGCATCAAGTAAAATTCTGCTGCTTGTTGCAGTCGAAGGAGTCTGTCAGCCTATGTCCCAAAAAGGAAAAATAAAGAAAAGTAGTAACATTTGGTTGGTAGACAAAAGTATGACTAAGCAACTCAATCGGCAAATATTTCTGCAAATCATTTAGCAATGTCAGATTGTAATTTTTTGAGCTGTAAAGAGTGATGCAATGCTGGACTCTTGTTTGATTAATTGCAAAAAATAAATGCTTTTCAAGGAGGGGGGAGTGGTTTAGAACCCTGCCCCCAGCAAGCTGTTCATATTTACCACTCTCTAAGAACACATATTCCCACTATTTTGCCCCAACTCAGAATTCAAGATCTATGAAACCAGTTAAAACTAGATTTGTAAGTGCTTCTTTTAAAATCCAGTCTAGATAAGAGGAAACGCTGCAAAGAGACCTGATAGTAGAGAGAAGTAGAAGTTAGGGGTATGTATGCTGGCACTATCCTCTGTTACCATGGTCATCTTAGGTTGGAAACTTCATCTGTAAAGTGCAGATAATAATATTTTTCTTAATTATTCAAATAGAATTGCTGTGAGGATCAACTGAGATACATATGTGACAGTACTCTTATACTTTGAAGTGTTAACCAGTTCTAACATAATATTACTGACCAGGTTTGGGCAGGTGATGTTACTGATGTTTTGAAGGCTATGGGAGCAGCAAGCTGAGCTTCAGTGACCACCTGCTCAGGGATGACTGTAGTCTCTGTCTCCAACCTAGACATCTCCCTTAATATCTGGACCTACATTCCACATTGCTTAGGAAACATCACCAATTTAATGTCCCATGGGTATCTCAGACTTGACGCACTTTGAATTCATTGCCTCTCTTCCCAAATACTGTTTCTCTTACAATATTGGGAAGTAAGCTGGTAGAGTAGATGAAGCAAGGACTTTGAATCTGGCCTTCAGCTTTTGCTAATTATGTGACCATAGAGAAATTACTCATCTTTTTAGCTTCAGTTTTCTCATCTGCAAAACGGATAGTCAGCACCCAGTAAATAGCAGCTATCGCTAACCATGTCATCAAGTCATCATTCTTTTTTAAGATTAGTTAATTAATTTTAAAAAAAATTTTTAAATTCTTAATCATGATCTCCACTCCCAACTAGTTAAGCCAAAAGCCTGGAGCTGTCTTTCATTACCCCTCTGTTATCAGCCCCCATATCCTTGAACAGGTCCTATCAGCTCAGTGTCTTAAATTTCTCAAATTCATACCATACCATCTCTCCATCTTATCTGCCATTTCCTTAGACACACCCAATGTTATTTATAGCCACATCAATGGATGTATTTCTCCCCCCAAATTTTTTCTAATTTTTCTTGTCAGCCCCTGCACAAATTCATCCCTTCCCTGGCATTCCTCCCTTCTTCTCCTTCACCTATTCCAACCTAGCAAGTACCTCCTCATCCTTCAAGATTCAACTCCCAAGTTCATCCTCTCAATGAAGTCTTTCTCAGTCACTTTCTTCTATGGCACTAGATGCTGTCTCATCAGTGTTCCCACAGCAACTCACACCTCTGTGGAGCCTTGCCACATTGTATTATATTTATTCACATGTGCATGTTGTGTGTCCATCATTAGATTGTGAGCATTTTTTAAAGATTTATTTATTTGAGACAGAAAGAGTGTTGTGGGGAGAGGAGCAGAGGGAAAGAATCTCAAGCAGACTCCCTGATGAGCATGGAGCCTGTTGCGGGGCTCCATCTGATGACCCTGAGATCATGACCTGAGCCGAAATCAAGAGTCAGACGCTTAACTGACTGAGCCACCCAGGTGCCCCAGATTGTGAGCATTTTGAAGCAGAGACTATGTTCTGTCATCTCTGCATCCCCCCAAGCCAGCATAGTGCAGGCACCTAATGAATGAATGGCCATGACGGTTCAAGGACAATACTGGCAGGAAAAGGGACGGAAGTTTGTTTTGCTGTGAGTGTTACTTTAAGCTTATTTCTCTTCTACTTCCTTTAGGTCTTCTCTCAAGTAAAACTATCACTTTCACTCTATCTATTCTTCCTCAATAGAGGCAGCTAGCTAATATAAATTATCCTGAGAACATATTTAGAAGATCATGCCCTAGTCAGCTGCAGGTAGGTAAGATTACAAAATTATCCAGAAGCTGAATGTATTAGTGGTGCTCCTAGTATTTCAGAGACAAGCCAAAAAGGGCAAATTTTCCAGGACTACTGGTCCAGAGAATACAAGAGGACAAACTCTTCCTTAGGACAAGTACTATAATAAAATAATAACTACCACTTTATGAACCCTAAGCTTCATATTCATTTTCTCATTTATTGCCTCTCAACAACTTTATGAAGTAGATGGTGGTATGCTGGTAAATGTATTTTAAAAACTGGATTTCTGGCAAAAGAGAGAAGAGAGAGAGAGACCCTGATTTGTTGCAAAATTGACAATTTCTGTGGGGTAAATACTCCCACCATGGCTGATTTCAAGCTGTCACTTGTGACGTCACTGAAGGCAGAGCTGGGGAAGAGATGTGTAGTAGAAGACCATGCAGACACAACAGACCAGAAATAATCTTAAGAGCATAGATCAGAGATCAGCAGACATTTCCAGAAAAGGGCCAGAAATTTAAGTATTTTAGGCTTGGTGGGCCATACGTTCTCTGTTGCAACTTCTCAGCTCTGCTGTTTTAGCACTAAAGTGGCCATAGATAAGATGTAAATACATGAGTGTTGCTGTGTTCCAATACAACTTTATTGATAGACACTGAAATTTAAATTTCATATAATTTTCACATCATGAAATACTATTTTCTTGATTTTTTTCTAAGCCATTTAAAGAATAAATCCATTTTTAGCTTGTGGGCTATGCAAAAACAGGTGGTGGGCCAAATTTGGCCCATGAACTGTTGTTTACTGATTCTGGTCATAGATAATAGTAAAAAAATAGTAGGAAAATAATTAGGAAGTAATGAGTTTTAAGCATTTATTATGTTTGTTTTAATATATTTTATTTAATTCTAAGTCTACATAGTTTAATTTTTAATAATGGCCATATTTAACTACTGGCTTGCAAATTTCCTAAAAATTTAACAATTGACTCCAATGAGCTAGTATAAGCTGGTTCTGTCACAACACTAAAAGTAGGTATTATAATCCCTATTTTATAGTTGAGGAAACAGTTCAGGAAGGTTATTTTACTCTTGATTAAAGACAGTAAGTGAAGAAGCCAGGATTTAAAGCACATCTGCCTGGAGACACTAAGCCTTTGACCACTATCTGAGAGTTCTGAGGCTTCCAGGAGTGGGTTTCTGGAAGGCTGTGAACTTCCTGGATGACTGAGGTATGGTTTTCTATTCATGGTGACGTGGAAAATACACACACAATGGATATGCACACTCTTTGCAAACTTGCCGTTTCTTACCTCAGCAAGGGATGTGTACCAGTGAGCGAAATATGGCCAGACTAGAGATTTTCTTACACATCAGACTTTTGGAAAAGGCTCTTGGTTGGAAAAAAAGTTGCAATTAGTAGCAAAAAGTCAGGGTTAGGGATTATCTGTGGGTTTCATTTATCTGCCTTATCTCAATTTCTGGCCTACATTCTAAATTTGTTCCTCTTGTCCCCAAGAAAAGACGAAATGCATGATGATTCCAAACCTTTGACCTGTCCACCTCTGCCCTTAACCTCTGAAAATGAAAAGAATTAAAAACTAATAGAAAGAAAAGATAAATGGTTTACAGCCATTTTGTTTCAAAATATTACCTCTGCCATCTTACTGGACACATCCAGGACTAAACACACCACTTTGTCGCCAGCCTGAATAAGGGAGAACATGGGAGGAGGTGGAAACTCAGTCTCATTCATGGGACAGCTATGATTAAAGTCAGCAGAGTCTGCGATTACATCCCATGCACTTCTGAGGCTGCACATTTGGTTCTGTAGGTTTGGAGCTTCTTGGTTGTGGGTACGTGCATTACAGAATTCAACCACCTAGAAAAAGAACAAAGCCTATCAGAATAAAGGCACTCCTCCCATATTAGACATACTTCTTCTCAAGCAACTGAAGGTAAAAGGGCATGGTAAGCTGAAACATGAGATATCAGAAGTGCTGTATCAGTCCTTATTACTTCAAGAATGACACTGAGTTTACAAATACACCTTCACACCCTTTGCTTGCAACACTGGCACCCTTGTGGTACTTGCGATCAGTCTAAATTACAGTCTGTTTGCACTTGGATAACAGAGCAGACTGTGTATCTTAGTCTTAAGAAAACAAAACAATCTCCCACCTTTTTTAGTATGAAGTATGTTAAATAAACACTCTACAAGATGTGATCTCAGTCAGCCTATTCCTTGGAATTATATTTAATGACCCACCTTTACCTTTATTTATTGATCAGTCAACATAAATTGATCTAGTTCAAATATTGATCTCTGTAAGAATAGGATAAGGAAAAAAAAACCCTTAAACCTACTTCCTGATCTTTTTCCCCATTTGGAAATAGAGATATAATTCATTTAATAATACTAAACATATGTCACCCTTTTTTAAGGTATGGTTTGCATTGTGAAGTAATAAGTTACCACCTATTCCCAGTGGCTATATTCCGGTAGAGTAGATACTTCCTGCTAACAGAGCCATGGGAGCTTAGAGCTAGAAGAAACCTTTCCAGTCCCATCTCTAATTTCATAGAAGGGGAAGCTAAAGCTCCAGAAGGTTGATAATTGCTCAAGGACATGGTTTTCTCAGTAGCATGGGAAGACGAGAATAGAACCCATTTTTGTTGTTGTTTTTTGTTTGTTTTTAACTCTTTTCTCTCTTTCGTGACTATGGTTAGAGGACGGTGAAATTTTTTTGACTGGATATTAATGATTAGGTCTTTCAAAGATTCACACACAATGTGGATGAAATACATGGAATTAAGTTGGCTTCCAATATTAAAGCTATAAATTAAAAACATAATGGATCAGACAAGAAATGTGAAAAATCCCTTTAAAGTTACAGAATGACTTGTAGCCTTGACTAAACCAGACTGAAGAAAAAAAGTTACTTAAAGAAAAGAATGCGTCAATCTAAGGGACATTGGTCAGCCGTGGAAACAGAAAACTTCACAGAGGCACATGCCCATGTGCTCTCAGCACCGTGGAGGGGAGATGACACACAGACATGAGTTTCGGGTCTTTGTGAAAATGGATGGATAGATCAGGTCATGAAGGCTGATGCCAGTAAGCTTCTGTATCACCAGTCTCCCTCCTTTCTGATTCCATTCCCTCCAAGCAGGCTTCTGGTGAGAAGCACACACAATTTTCCTTCAGAGAAAAAACGAACTGGCTAAAGGATGCAAGTATTGGATCCCCATGACAGAGTACTATTTTTAAATAATAATGTAAAAAATGTTGTTCTAGATCCATACACTAGTCTCTTGCCAATGCAGAATACTGACAAGGTTAAGTTTCCGAACCTGCAACGCTAAGGGTTAGTTGATTTCTCTTGGTAACACCTGGTTTTTCTTTTTCAATTTATACTATGCAAAACAAGGGAAAGAGAATTAGGAAACACAATTAAAGTAAGAGTGGTTTGCTACTTTTTTTGTGTGGAGATGCTGGGGAATGGTTTGCTACTTCAAATGAGAGAAATATAATCATGTGTTATATCACTCTTAGTAACTCAAAAACACTTCTCCTCAATACCTCCAGATGAGCAGTTTATTTTGAAGTTTCCAGAGCTTCCTTGTTAAATCACCTTCCCTAGAAAGCAAATAATCACTTTTCTAAAGGAATTTTTTTTTTTTTTTTGGTGATCATCTTTGGGGCCTCAGTGTTTTTTGTTTTATCTGTGAAATAAAAACTAGATGAACTCTAAGGTCCCTAAGCTCTAAAACATAGTGAATCTTAATTATCTTTTTGTTTAAATACTTCAAACATATCAGTCCATCTTGGGAAGAGATGGCATGTTGTAGGAGTTTGTCATTCCAAGGCCATACTTACAGAAGATAAACTTTGCATGAACATTATTGATGCAGTTGCATTTTGGGTGCTATTGTATATAAACATACATCCTTCTTTGAAAAGTTTACTAATAATACAGTTTTCTTGAGGGCAAGGGCCTTTTTCACATACAAAAATGCCTGTGATGTCAGATGAACACCTAAAAACAGAAAGAGAAATTGGGTCTATTTCAGAAATACTTAGGTTTCTTCTTCATTGGCTCATATAATTATTTATTCTAAGGCTTATAGCTTGCTAGATACACATAAAACATCTTAAAAACTACTCTGTTAAGAAAGTTAATTAATTTAGAAATGCACTATACTTTATTTTAAAGCATTTGATCTGGATGAGGAATTCTCTCTTGCCAAGGGTTTTACCAACTAAACAGGGTCAAAGGAAAAGATACCAGGAAATCAACATGAACTTTTGGAGTCCCAAGGAGGAGCATTAGTGATAGTATCCTGAGTCACAGCTTCTTTGAGCTCATTGCCATTGGACATCAGAGCAGAAGAGAATGGAGATGTAATGATGATATTTAAACAGATTCTTTCCTAAATAAATAATCTCAAATACTACCAATGGGAGTGAAGAATAATACGACCTTTAGAAGAGAAATATCTTTAAAAAAAAAAAAAGAGAACTATCTTCCAATTGATGATCAATTGATAATTGGTCAATATCTACCAAAATTACAGCTGAGGGTACATTTTTGGCTCAGTAATTCCTGGAAACTATTCAATAGATATATAGATCTGCCTGCATACATGAGAAATGACATATGTGTAGCATTATGACCTACAGTTGTTTGGCAATAACAAAAAATTGGTATCAACCCACTTGTCCAACAATAGGAAACTGGTTGAAAACGAGTGAGATGGTACATCCACACAGTGGGACACTAAGTAATTATTTTTAAGAAAAAAAGGATGAAGAAAAATATATATACACATTTATTTGGATTTGCCTGAAGAAATACTAAAAAAATAAACAAGAAACTAATAAAAATGGTTACCTAGAGGGAATGAGAGGGAACAGGGTAAAGACAGTGGTGGGAACAAGATATCTTAGAGTATAGCTTTTTATGTTGTTTTCATATTTAAACCACATAAATATTTACCAACTTTTAAAAAATGAAATAAGATTCAAAAGTTTAAAAATGCTGTGAATTGTGTAAGACTGTTGAATCACAGACCTGTACCTCTGAAACAAATAATACATTATATGTTTTAAAAAAAAGAAGATAGTAGGAAGGGAAAAATGGGGGGGGGGAATCGGAGGGGGAGATGAACCATGAGAGACGATGGACCCTGAGAAATAAACTGAGGAGGGGAGGGGGGTGGGGGGATGGGTTAGCCTGGTGATGGGTATTAAAGAGGGCACATTCTGCATGGAGCACTGGGTGTTATACGCAACCAATGAATCATGGAACACTACATCAAAAACTAACGATGTAATGTATGGTGATTAACATAACATAATAAAGAAAAAGTTTAAAAATGAAAGGATCTCTTCCTTGTCAATTAGGTTTTAACTGCCATTATCAACTTCGTTTTACGTAAAAAAAAATAAATAAACAGTGAATTTTAAACATGAGAAAAAGTACCAACCTTGTTACTTTAATTTGGTTTTGCCCATTTATGTAGAAAGGTTTCTCATCATTGTATTCGTCGAACACACCCCAACGGAGATGGGCCCATTCATGGACAAATACTCTACCTGTGGAAAAGAGAGCTTTGGTTTTGTGTTCCTGAAATCTCAGCAGTGGGCTTTGCTAAAAGGTGAAGATATAGCATCACTTGACTATATATACTCACTACAAAGGGTTGAAGTATAATTCTCTCCCACTTTTCTCTTCCTCACCTTCCATTCCCATCTCCTGCTTTACCCTCTACCATCACAAAAGAGGCACTCTGAAAATATATTTAGTCCTGTAAATGCAGACCAGTGATTTACTTAGTGCATACCTATTTGAAACTAGTGATGAGCCCCGCATTCTCTCATTTCCCCAGTGAAGCTGCCTAACACATTTCTATTTAGCTTCTTACAGGCCTACCATTTCAGGATTGGGGGAAGGGAAAGCAGCTTATCTAAGTACAGTGAACTGAATGCTTATATCCACCCCCCCCAAACCAAATTCATATGCCTCATGTGATGGTATTAGGAAGTGATTAGGCCTTTGAGAAGTGATTAGGTCACAAGGGTGGAGCCCTCATGAATGGGATTAGTGTCCTTATAAGGAGACCCCAGAAAGCTCCCTCCTCTTCCCACCATGTAAGGACACAGAGAGGAGATGGTTGTCTATGTACCAGGAAGTGCGTACTAGACACCAAATATGCCAGTGCCTCAATCTTGGACTTCCCAGCCTCCAGAACTGTGACAAATAAGTTTCTGTGGTGTATAAGGCACTCAGTCTGTGGTATTCTTTTATAGCAGCCCAAACAGACTAAGACATAAAAACAAGCAAATAAAGATTTCCTCTTCTTTAGTCTGTATTATCCAAGCATACCTACTTTTTTCTTATAAGTAAGCCTCCTCTCTAGAGCAATGATTGAAACCCTGAGGCCAGAGAAGGATAAAGGAGTAAAAAAGATCATAAACCTCCTCTCCAGCTTGGATGGTCCATTCTCTTTTATTTTATCTCTGATTCTCTGTTTATATTTGTTTCCAACTCTTGGCTCATGGAAAACAAATCCTTTATATCTTTATCTCTTCTCTAAATTTTGCATTTCCTTCAGTGTTCTAATCAAAACTACTCCCCAGTAGAAGCTTTCGGGATTAACTCTCCTCTCAAAGTGCGTTTTTCCTTTTTTTCTGAATTCTTTTAAGTTCTGGGAACCAGGAAGTGTTTGCAGAGCAGACTGAGGCTGCAGCATGTTGTGCAAGTTTTGTACCGTGGGACAAAGGAAGGGAGGGGAACTAAGTGGAAGGTATTAAGGAAAAGTTTGTGCCTACTCAGGGAATTTAGAAGTGCTGGTGAAGTCATCATCTATTTGTGCAGAGATTATCAGCACCTGTTAGTTACTGGGGAAAAGATGTTTTTTTTTAAAGTGTTTTATAAAGTGTGTTTTATACAGTGTGTTGCCCCAGTTCCCACCAGCCATACTGAAGATAACAGCATCTATTTAGATTTAAATGGGAGTAAAGTGAAAGCATCATTTGAAAGGCACTACTGTTAAAATCAGAAACAAAAAATTAAGCATGGGATAGTTAGCCCTGGACCTGTTGATCTGTTCTCTGGACAGTTTCTCCCTCAGATCTCATCCACTAAATGCCAGTCTCCAAACCTGTTACCCTGACTTCTCTCCAAAACTCCAGCCATCCACATCCACCCCAGGCTGAGCCTTTCGGCCAGGACAATCTGCTGCTCCCCTCAATCAACTTGCCTAGATCCAAACTTGTGGATTTCCCCCTGAAACTGTCCCTTCTACTTCCGACATAAACCGGGTTTATGTTCCTTAATGCTGCCACACACCCCATCACCCTGGCCTTTCACTCTGTAGCAGGCAGACCTCTAAGTTCTCTTTTTTCCCCTCGGGAATATCTCCCATCACTTAGAATTGTTAGGATTAAATAAGATAACGTTTGAAAAACAGCACAGCACCTGGCACATAGAAAATTCATTATTCTTAATACTCTTTCCTGTCCTCACCTCACTGCCCCTATTCTTATTCAAGTCTTATTGTCTCCTGCCTGGACTTCTAGTTATTCTCCTGATATTCACTTTCCCTCTCACTGATTTGAGGGAGCCAGATTATCATTATTATACAGCCAGATTCATCTTCTGAAACGCTTTTATGTTGGTTTCAGTTCTGTGCTCATAAGCCTTCAGTTGGCGACTCGCTAACTTGGGCAGCCGAGTCTCCCCTGCAGCTACCCCCCCATGCATTTCAGCCTTTTCTTCCACTACTTCACTCCTCACAGTCTCTCTGCACCATCAGTGTGCCTACTGCTCTCATCTGTCAAATATGCTCTGGATCCTTCTGCGGCCGCTGTTTATTCATACTCTTTGCCCTGTTCTCTCTCATCTTTCCATTTACCAACATGATATTAACCTTGGACAGCCTTTCCTTTGTGAGGCCCTGGCTGAGCACCCTTAGTGCAAAATGTTCTCTCGCTGAATTCTTGTAGCACTCACCGTCTGGGCCACCAAACTGGTGTCCAACTGTTTTTTGGCTCAGTTTTTCTCTTACCTTTCATGGGCACGTAACCTATCTCTCCCCATGCATATGGTAAGTCCTGAGCAGGTTTCAGGTTCTTTGAGTTGCTTTTCAGCAGCAAGCACAGAATATTGTAAATAGTACTGCCTGATGTCTGTTTCTGGATTGGTCACACTTACCTCGTGGTCCATAGCCAGCTGTTAAGTCATCATTTACGAGAAAGTTAGATGTGAAATGAATGTATTTTCCCTCTTTTCCACACCCTCTGTATTGTAGTGTGTATGGGTCATCTCCATGGACCCCATACCAGTCAGTCACTATGACATTTGCCTAAATGAGAAGGAATGCTTTATAATACTCTGTATCCCAACTGTGATGTTGGTGACATAAACATATACATTTGTTAAAACACTTTGAACAGTACTCTTTACAATCTGTGCATTTTACTGTATGAGTTGTATTTCAATTTAATAACAGATTTTTTTAAAGTTATGTCTTGTAAATGGAGTTTAAAATGCATGCACACCTAAATATCAATAAAATTATTTGTCACTTTCAAAAACATCTGTATTTTAAAAGCTTAGCAACTTTCCATGGAGTTTGATTATTTCCATGTGACCTTCCCATTTTCCAGATTAAAATTTTCTCAAAAGCCCACACTGTAAAATTCTGACATTATAAAACCCTATAAAATATAATAAAAATATTTGAGTAAATGTTAAGGGCAGTGAATGTCATTCAGACTGTTCTGTAAAGTGAACAGCTTTTTGTAGGTTACTTCATCAGTATAGGACAATAAGATGTGTTTGTTTTAAGCCTTTTCCTTTCATTCCTGTTATCAATTAGATCAGCAAAACAATCATTAGAATGAAGTTATATTTCATCTTGTACCCTGACCATTTCAATTATTATTGCTAAAACACAGTAGTTTAAGTCCAAAACCAAAGAAAATATCTATTCAAATAACCATATAGGGAATACAATTTTATATACAACATTGTTTCTTTTATTTTTAGGAAGAAACATAACATGTTGTCTCAAGACTTGCCATTAGAAGTATGTTGTTAACTTTTTTTTTAAACAAAGCTTATTTTAGAACTATAGATCTAATATGATCCTATAAATATACATCAATGATCACTATATGTCCCATATGTGTACTGTTTTATGTGTGTGTGCGTGCACACCCCCAAGTAGAGGAAGGTAATATTTTCAATTTTATTTTCCAGTATTTCTACAGTGTTTAATTTGTTTTTGCAATGAGCATGAATTATTTTTATAATAATTAACATTAATTTTTAGAAAGATAAGAATTTAAGCCAGGGGTTTTGCAAAGCAGCACCTACAAAAGGGCTACAGATGTCATGCCCTTGGATAGTTTTCACATGGACAAAACCTCATTCCTGTGTCTGGAAATTTGTCCTGAAGCTAAAAGGAAGGAGTGCTCTGCTGGGGATGGAATACTCAGTGGCTGTTTGAGGTTCCATTCTATTATAGACCCTAGTAATACAGCTCTTACCTACTTTTTCTAACTCTTCGTCCCCTCCCCTGCTTCCTACCTGCATTTGACTGTGGGTTCACAGGGACAGGAACCACCTTGCTTGTCCATGCCTAGCATGGCCCCTGTAGATAATGATCATTCACTGTTTGCTTAATTGACATTTGAGGCTAAAGGAATCGGTATCCAACAGGTATATAAGCAGCACTCAATGATTATTCTTTCCTTTAATCTTTCAGTTCAGTAATATTCTCATTTTTATTTTAATTATTTATTTCTCACCCCTCCATTAGGATCAGGAGTATGACCTGGTTTTGATGCTAGTTGTCTCCAGTACTTCTTTGTTTCATGGAAGGTCAAATTGATTAATACCATCTACATAGATAGCTAGAAACGGCATAGCTCAGTGCAAAGAGCAGGGGTTTGGGAAGCAATTAGACATGGATCGAAATTGTTGCTCTGTAATTTACTAACTGTTTGACTTGGGACAAAATCCTTACTTTATTTGAGCTTCTGTTTCCTAACTTATGGTAATAATTTGTGATAGCAACTAATTTTAAGGTGTGTGAGAACTAAACAATATATGTAGAATGCCTGGTGCTTAGTGGAAGCTTAAAAAAACACTGACTCTATAGGGGTGCCAAGGTGGCTCAGCCCATTAAACATCTGACTCGATTTCCGCTCAGGTCATAATCTCAGGGTCTGAGATTGAATCCCTATGTGGAGACCCCAGTCTGCTCCTGCCCCTTCTGCTAGCTGCCCGGATTCTTGTTCACAGTAACTTCAAACAGTCATTTGACAAATGTATTTAACATTTGTTTATAGCATGCAGACATAATCAGGGATGCTTAACTATGATCTGCAGCTTATAAGAGTTCTTTGAAGGTTAAGTTCTTTTTGGTTGGGAAAGAAAAAGAAGCCACTCCTCCCCTCTCCCCCCCTTCTGCCTTCCTTCTTATCATCATACTCCTCAGAAACAGTGTCCTGGACTTGGGCTCGTACGAAATTCTGCTAATTTACACTCTGGCGGGAGAAGTCAGTCATATTTTATAGCTTATGTTTCTGTCTGGACATGCATGTCTCCTGCCCCTGACAGGATGGGAGAAGAAGGTAGTCATAATTGGAATTGTTCCCTGTACAGCTCATACTTAGTAGGATAAAACCAGCTTTCGGTCCTTAAGCAAACATTTCAGAAAGGACCCTATAAGTTACAAAGAAAAGAGGCCTTCTGAGAGGCTCCTTGGGCAATGGCATTTTGTTTATTTTTTGTTCCATAATTTGTACTCATTTATTATATTTCCATGTATCTTGTGAATAACTATCTTCCCAATATTAGTTGTGTGTTAACATCAATGACTTGTTTTTGCTTAAGTTCTCACTTTTAAAGTTTGAACAGAGTGTATCTTGGTTGTTTTTTCTGGAGTTAAGCTCATTTAAGAAAATCCTGAATTCTTACCTTTTCATATAATTCTTGTTTTACTTTGCTGTAATTATTAGCTTTCCATGTGGCAGGTATTAAAATCTTTATATTTCTGAAAAACACTCTTCTCTTGGTAGCATTGAATAGGTAAAAAGAAGCTTCAGTTATCATTTCCTATAACCAAATAAAAGAAAAGCTTATCTTGGCACTAGTAAATCTTTTATGTTTTGGTTTTCTGATTATACTTGAGTAAGTAACAGTAAAGAGTAGTGAAAATATTTTAAAGAAGCCCATTTCTTTTAGAGATGGCCTTAGACTTTGGGAAAACTTGGGAGCAAAATAAACCTCAAATGGTTTATTTTGGTAATAATATTACCAAATATATAATATTTGGTAGGGATTTTAGGACACCAGCAGTGAGTCTGGGCTTGCCTATGTAATTTTTCCCAGTTTTGTGAAAAACTTTTAAGCTTTTACCAAACAAATCACTTTCATGTCACTCCTGTGGGCATGTTCAAGACCACACCTTATGATGATCCTGATTTCTCTAAAGCAATACCAGCAGGAGGCTCTTAAGTAATGGAGCTATGATCCTCCTTCACCACATTAAGGTGAAAATAGTCAATTACTTTACAGAACATTCAGATGAAAAGAATTTTGCTCTTCAGCACTCCATCCAGACTCTCTTTCTGTCTGAGAATTCTCAGCCTCAGGATGGAATCCAACAGCTTGATTTTAATAAGCACAATCGTGCTTATTCATCAGTCAAACATCTGGTCTTTGTTACCACAATGGGTTATTTTTTTAAGTTGCTACCCCCCAAACAGTCATATTAGGAAAACAAAAAAAGCTAAAAGTAATAGTAACCAACAAGAACAAATCAGGAAGGGCTAGCTCAACGCTCTGAGCCAAGACTGTGCATAATTAAGTGAACATACTGGCTTGGCCATAATTATAATTTTTGGTGCTTAAAAAAAATGCTGATCTCTTTACTATTCAAATACAGACTGAGCAAAATTGTTAGCTTTTTAAAGAAGGCTACAACCCTGCTCTAATGGGATAATGGTATCTATATCACATTTGTCACTTACCTTAATATTTGCGATGAGGTTCTGATCTTCGGATACCTGAGGGTTGATTGCAACGAGTAATCCATCGTACCCATTGTCTTGAAGCTGCACTCCGGCTCCCAGGAATAGGAATTCTGGAATTAGGGCCACCAGGAGGGTCACAAACTTCAGGCTGCCAAGGGGACCCACATTGTCCCTATGGGTCATGTTGTAGAGAAGCCTCCAGTTCACTCACACTGGCCCTACTGGGTACATTGCACCAGGTTGTCAATGGGAGAGCTGATACTTTCTTCCTGAACTTGGAAGGTCTTAGACATTGTGGTGAAGGAGGTGCCTTTTTTTTTTTTTTGCAAAACTTGGGTGGATCTCTCTGAGAGCTGCCTCTACATGTCCTTTTCCTCTAGGCAACACCACACTTGCCTGTTTTGTGGCTGAGCTTCCTTTTGAATCATGGTTGGGCAAGAAATTACTCCTTATTCAGTACATCTTCTCAGAAGGGAGAGGGAAATAAGACAAAAGGAGCTTGAAAGAAGGAGGCCAGGCTGGATGGGCTAAAAATCGGAGAATCTGGATTGTTTAATCCCCTTTCAGCAGAAACACAGAAATCTGTCATGACTCTTCTCTCTCATCCTTGACAACCTCCTCCATCAGGCAGCACAGCAACTTTTCTACTGCACTCAAGTCATTTTTTATTTGCTGTAAGATTCCCTTGTCTGCTTCTTTGGAATATTTGGAAATCCATCCTGCAGCCCTGTCCCTGGGGCCCTTGGGTCAGGTCGTCTGGGCAAGCTCTCAGCTGATGGTGGAGGGGAAGGTATCAGATGTCCCCCAAGAAGGGCCAAGTGACAGGAACTTAGATGCCTGGGCAGACCACAGAGGCCTTTCCCTCTGCCCTTGCTGCCTCTCCTCCCTGGACCAGGAGAAAGAATAAATTTCTCTTTCAGCAACTCTCTCCTGAGGGCAAGGCTGTGCCTCAGTCCACCTTCCATTTTTCAAGGACCAATCACAGGGTCTGGTACATAGTAGACATCACAAATATTTTTTTTAATTTTTTTATTGTTGTTAATCACCATACATTACATCATTAGTTTTAGATGTAGTGTTCCATGATTTATTGTTTGCGTATAACACCCAGTGCTCCATGCAGTACATGCCCTCTTTAATACCCATCAGCAGGCTAACCCATCCTCCCACCCCCCTCCCCTCTAGAACCCTCAGTTTGTTTTTCAGAGTCCATCGTCTCTCATGGTTTGTCTCCCCTTCCAATTTCCCCCCCTTCCTTCTTCCCTTCCTGCTATCTTCTTTTTTTTTTTTCTTAACATATATTGCATTATTTGTTTCAGAAGTACAGATCTGAGATTCAATAGTCTTGCACAATTCACCGCGCTTACCAGAGCACATACCCTCCCCAGTGTCTATCACCCAGTCACTCCATCCCTCCCACCCTACCCCCCACTCCAGCAACCCTCAGTTTGTTTCCTGAGATTAGGAATTCCTCATATCAGTGAGGTCATATGATACATGTCTTTCTCTGTTTGACTTATTTCGCTCAGCATAACACCCTCCAGTTCCATCCACGTCGTTGCAAATGGCAAGATCTCATTCCTTTTGATGGCTGCATAATATTCTGTTGTGTATATATACCATATCTTCTTTATCCATTCATCTGTCGATGGACGTCTTGGCAGCATCACAGATATTTGATGAGTGTTGAATAGTACCTGATAACTACCTAATGCTTTAGAATTTACAAATAACCCCATTTAAATGTCAATTCTCTGATGCAGGCATAACTCTTACTTCTATTTTTCAATGAAGACACCGAGTCTCAGAAAGATTGAAAATTAGCCAACAGGGAAGGAACTAACTCTTATTATGTGATGGGTTTTATCATGCTTATTTTATGCGTGACAAAACTAAGGCTCAGAAAATCTAAGTAACTTGTTCAAGGTTGTGCGAGCCTTGTCATAGTGCTAGAATGAGACCCACTGGCTCCCTCCACTGTTTTTCACCATATCATATTGTCTCGCATTCTCAGGGAACTGGAAATAAAGTGAGCTTTATTATAAATGTAGAGCTGCAACGTTGAGGGACAGTGATGGTAATTTTTCTCTTGCTGTCCCTCTGCTTGGAACCTCTTCTCTGACTGCTTTTCACTTGCTTTTCCTTCAAATTCCAGTTCTGGCCTGGCAGCCTGAGCTGAGCTTCCTAACTAGGTCAAATCCCCTCTTTCATGTTTCATAGCATCAGATGCCTGTCCTTTGCAGTGTGATCATGGTTGTGGTGTCACATTCATTTTGTGTGATTGGTTTTCTGCTTCCTGTGAAGGGTATATGAGAGGAGGGACCCTACCCTGTCTGTTTTTATCACTGCCTCCTTAGCACCCAGCTCAGGAGACTCTCAATAAATTTTTGTTGAATGAATGAATGAGTGAATGAATGGAGTGAGGGGAAGGAAATAAAAGCTAGATTACAGAAGAGCCCTGGATTATAGTGTGAAAATGCTCCCCCCAACTTTATTTTTTTTTAAGATTTTATTTATTATTTGAGAGAGAGAGAGAGTGAGTGAGAGAGAGCACAAGCAGGGGAAGCAGCAGAGGCAGAGGGAGAAGCAGGCTCCCCACTGAGCAAGGAGCCCAGACACGGGGCTCCATCCCAGGACCCCGGGATCACGACCTGAGCAGAAAGCAGACGCTTAACTGACTGAGCCACCCAGGCACCTTGCTCCCCCCAACTTTAAAAGTATCTCTTCTAGAAGGTATCTCTTCTGTTCTGAAGCAGTTTTCTTCTTGCTCCATCTTGTCAGAAGGCCCTGGGGTGTAGGTGCTCCCCCTGGGTGTGAGGAGAATGGAATGTCTCTGGTAACAACGCGGCTGCCACAGGTGGCCACTCGACAGCTCAGAGGTCAGCTTAGCTGTCTTGTCTCTCTGGGCTGATTCCCAGCCGTGGAGGCCTCTCCGCCTCGCTCTCACTGTGCGACAGAGTGGAAGCCCAGAGGTGTGGTGATGCTGAAGGCTCTGCCTATAACTGTGATTCACTAAGCAAAACAATGAACTTCATTTTCAACTTTTCTTGGCAGTTTATTTTCTTATGCCAGTCCCTTGTGCTGTTCAGAAAGACATTATTGACATCAGTAAAACCATATGCTCAAAAATGAAACCCGTAAGCCGTACTGAGAGTAACTTTCCACCAACAATCAGAGAAGAGTTTCTTCTTGCCACTGTGCACACGTGTGTGAGTTGTTCTCGGGCGGAGGGGCTGTTGAAGGCTGGCATCCAGCCCTCTCTCCACTTGCTCTTAACAATAGTTACAAGGGCTCCCGTAGCATGTGGAGTGGAATGTTAGCTAGGGACTGTGTGCAGCTTTAGAAAGAGCAGCTACATATGAACGATCTTGTCCAGTTTCACCTGAACAAGTGCACTCAGGTTTTGCTCCTCCTGGGCTGAGGGTCCAGATATGTCCATTCTTGTCTACCTGTTTTTTGCGTCCTTGGTTTTAGAATCCAATCCCCCAGGCTGGCCACTCGACTGGCATCCACTTTCATCATCTGTCCTGACGGGATTCTGGTCACTGACCCATTCTCTGACCATGTCTGGGGTGTCACAATCACTCCGAGAGCCTTCTCCCACTTCTGTTTTGCTCTCAGCAACCAGGCCTGGGGCCAGGCCAGCTAACGATCTCTTCTTTCTGTCTTCTGCTCTGACCCGGCTGACCCTACAGGAGACAAAAGTAAAAAGCTCTTAAAAACTGACTTGGCTAAGTGACTTAAAAGTCATTCCTGAGGGGAGTGTCCACTTCTGATAAAGTGTGACTTTGTCAACAACAACAAAAAACCCCCACAATTTATCCTTTCATTCAAAAAATATTCACTGCTCATGTCTATAGATTTTATGATATCTGAAAAATGAAATACACCCAAAGAGAAAAAAAATGGGAATACAATATTCAGGCATTTATTTAAAGTTATAGAAATTCTAGGAATCTGCTCTGCTTTTATCTGCTTTCAAGAAATAAGAGTTATTCCATTTCAGTAACTGAAGAATCTAAAGCACATCTTTGTTCATTGTCTGAATTTGCAGTTCTTCCTGGCCCCAGAAGGCCTCTCTGTTTTCATGGAGTCTGCAGGCAGAGACCCACAAAGTGAGTATCAGAGGAGTGAGGAGATCTGACATCATGAAGAGTCCAAGGAAGTTTTGAATTATTTCTTCTCAGGCTTTTGTTCGACTCCTTAGCAATCCCATTTAGAACAGGAAAGTTCACGATGTGGCAGGACTACAAAACTATGGGACCACTTTAGTTTTGCAACATTTATGAAATAAATCAAAATGGAATTGAGACAAATTGTAAAGAGTAAAAATTTGAATGAAACACAGTTTTCCAAGGACTCGGATGGCACATTTCATGCCTCCCTCTTCCCATTTTCTTCAAACTTATATTCATTTTCAAAGCAAATGAGTGAAGTGGATGGTCCAGATAGAGTCCAGGAAGTTATTGGTGTTTTGTTGAGTCACCACCATATCAGAGCTTGAAGCTCTTATACTTCTAGTTGTTTTAATTCTCCCTATGCAGTCTTTCACCCCCAGACTTTTGCTATTAAGCCTCCTCCTCATCCTCACTGTGCCAAGAACTTTGCAGATGACTTCGTGCATGGGGAAAAAAAAAACCCTCTAAAATTTGCCAAAATGAATGGAAAACAAGAACTACTTCTAATGATAACCTAATAAAGAACATGGGAGAAAGGGTATAGAATATTTCTCATTTGCAAAACAGGCATAAAATTGTGTCCTATAAGATACTTTTATATCTATTATGTACCAGATAGTATATAACATCATGTGGATGTAAGATATTATCATTATTATTATCATTATGTTCCAGGGAAGAACAAAAAGAGAAAGCAGACATGTAGTGGAAATTTTTTCAAGAGGTGAAAAATAACCAGGGAGATTCAGAGAACAATAAATGAAAGTACAAGCACAAAGATTACATAGTTCTTTCCTAGTCTCCCATTCTGTTTTCTCTCTGCTCTGATTCTGTCCATCTGTGAAGTTTTAAAGGCTCTGCCAGATTCCCTTGTTGCCCCCAATCCCAGCAAGGGGCAGCAGGTCTTTCAGTCTTCCTCTTCTTGTGCTGTTTCTAATACTCCATTTCACCCCGCAAGCCCTGCAAAGAACAGGAGCAACTCCAACCAGTTGAAAGACCTGGCATTTGGAGGATTAGGGCTCCCCCTTCTGTTCTCAGGGGTATCTGTTCTCAGGTATCTGGGGCTCTGAATCTCCAGACAAAACTCTCAGCAAACAGAATTGACCTGTACAGACCTCCCTCCCAGTGCACACCACAAGTTATTTAGAGTAGTACTTTTCAAACTTTAATGTACCTAAGAATCACCCATTCAAATTCAATTCCAACTCTGTAGGTCAAGGTGAAGCCAACATTCTGCATGTGTACCAAGCTCCTAGGTGATGCTGGGCTGCTGGTCCTTGGTCCACACTTGGAGTGGTCTCCTGGGGAATATCCAGGGATTTACTTTGGGATTTCCGCTCTTGCACGACAAAGAGACAGTCTATGTAGTATTTACAGATATTTTTTACCTTCTTATGGGAAAGGCCTCTGCTTTCCTCAGATCTCAGGAGAAAAGCATTGCATTAATTATGCATTTTTATGGGGACACGATTGTTTAAATATTCTTTGTAAAGAAACAGCTACAGAGTTCAGAGTTAAAATTTAAAAACCAATAGCACAGGTATGTAGGTTTTAGATTCTTGAATGTCACAATCACCTTTCTATGATTAGAGCCCCTGCCTTAAATTTAATCTATTTTCTTATTGATCATTATGTGAGCCATGGTAAGATTATTTTAATGACCTCCAAAATGTAGCCTCAAACAAGTAATTGCCAAGGATGGACCTTCTTTAAACAGGGGATCACTTCCTTCACTTTTATTTCTCTTTTTTAAATCAGTTATTCATTCAAAAATAAAATTGTACCAAATACACCTCAATAACACTGTTAAAAACATAAAATCATGTTTCTACTAGATGCCTGGCACCATTCTAAGCACTGGATATGTGTGAATGAAATGGAGTTTATGTTCTGTCCTAATGGAGTTTATATTCGAGAAAAGGGAGAGAGACAGCAGGCAAACATAATGGGATATCTAGTGAAAGTGTTATAGAAAATAAGAAATCAGGTAAAGGGGAGGAAACAATAAAAGGGTGGAAATTGAGGTCTGTTATTTTGTATCAGGTGGTGGGGAAGACCTCAGAGGTAAGATTATCAGGAGTGGGGAAGTAAACATGCAAACATCTGAGAGAGAAATGGTTCAGGCAGAGAGAAGAGCAATTGGGAAGCCCCTGAGGCTGGGGGGTGCCTGAAGTGAGAGATGCCGTGGACAGGTCCCTGGGTGAGGGTCTGTGACGTGGAGGCCGTGTCCAGTGCACAGACCACATAGGCTGGCAGCTCATGGAAAAGACTGGAGTGTATCTGTGAAATGGGAAGTCAGTGGTGGATGTGGAAGAGTGACACTATCTGACTCTCAAATTTCCTTTCTGTGAGGAGGCCAAGGGTGGAAGCGGGGGCCAGGGAGGGGGTTATTGCTGAACGCAGGTGAGGCAGTGGAGTGGACAGAGCTCAGGTAACACTCTTGGTTGTCTTCCGTTAGTTAGCCTTCCTTCAGCTTTCTAGCAGTTTCCTTTCTCCTCTCCATTGAAATTTTTCTGCTATTAAGATGAAATAAAAACCCCTTCAGCTTGTAAGCTTATTAAGAGAGGACTCAAGGAAAATTTTGCCTGCCCAGAAATGCAGAGCATAATGCTGACTGACAGCAGAAGAAATAAAATGAGAAGCAGTGACATGAAAATAATCTGAGGTTATCTGTGGTCAAATGACATGAAAATACAGTCCAAGTTTATAACATAAGGCTGTGGTTCTTGATGCTTTGTCCACAGGTGCTCCATAAATGATAGCTACCGTTATTATGAGTTTAGTTATATGTTGTTGTCAGCTGGGGCCCCCTTGTTCCTCAGAGACCTCCATACAGTTGGTTTTTATCGATGTCAGTTCCATGACCTGTGGAAGACAAGTCCCCCTCCTAGATTTCTGCAACTACCTGCACACTTGTCTCCTTAAAATTCCCGTTTCCTAGTTCCACATGGGCGGCTCCCATGCTTTGTTGTATTGTTCTGAATATGGTGTTATGAGTTTTCCAAAGAAACATGTACGTATCTTGTTTGTGAGTAATTTAGACTTTATTGAAGAGTTCATAGGTGGAACTAGAGAAGGATTTATGTCACCGAAAAATAAAACAAAACATTTCCCAATCACTGAAAGCATCAGCCTTCTTGAAAGAATTTTCCACAAATGTGGAGCGTCCTTGGCCCCCCAGTTGCCTCAGTATCTTTCTATCCCAAGGGATCTCTCCTTTCTCTCTTCTCCTTACTTTCAACAGTGAAAGCAACCAACTAACTACCACCAACAAAATCCCTGCCTGGCCCCATATACAGTGCCCTGCTCCCCAGAGTCTTCAACACCGCACAGAAACCGGGTAGCATGGGAGGATTAGAAGGGCTCCCCTTCAACCTCAGACAGTTATAAAGTGTTTTCCCCAGGAGGGATTCTGGCCAACAGGGGTTTTTAAAGACTCTTCTTAGTCACTCATCTTCCCAGTCACTCATCTTCCCATGTCTCACTTCCCAGCTTCAAAAGCCACTTCAGCTCATTTCTATTTCTTTTCCTCTAAATGGGAAGTTAAAATATTTATTCTTTTACCATTCTGTTTCTTGTGACCTGTCATTTCTATTCCCTAAAGTCGCTATTTTCCCTTTAATTCTCTGGGCATAGCTAAGGTCTCAGGGTTCTTCCCGTATCCCGCAATGCCTAGCACCCTACTTTGATCCCAGTTTTCTTCAATAACCTGCATATTTGTATCAAGAGTTTTGGCTGTGGCTTGCTTGACACTCCCAGTAAATGCTCTGCTTGAACTGAGACCATCTTTGATCTCCTTTCTTTTTCCTTATTACTCACCAATTCTTTTTGTCTCCCCCATTTGAGTACTTTCTCTCCTTTTTCTATTCTTCTCCAAAAAGAATGGGGAGCAACTTTTAAAAAGAGATTAGAACAGTATATGTCTTTTACTACATAGCTGTTTTTATTTTTTTCTCTATTAGAAAGTAATTATTTTTTGAGTAGGGTCTCTTTAGAGTCACATAACTAGGATAAAGGAAAAATCAATCAGTTCTTTAATATAATGCCATAATTGGTTACTAAAAATACAATCATCTTAAAAACTAAAAATGTACAATGGATGATACATTTTAGCTAAGATCAGATGGCCATAGTATGAAAGTATGAAGAGTATTTTAAAAGCAATGGTTATAAGCAAGTGACAAATTTTTTTAAAAGAAATTTTTGGGAAGCATTTTATCTTTTTCAAAGAAGAATAAAAGAATGAATTTTTTAGTGTCATAATTTATCCTAAATGTCATTATATCATATACATGTTTTATCTCCATTTGGGTGAGTTATCATAATATAGATTATAGCAATGAGTCACACACCATAAATTACTTACTGAGCAGGGGATAAAGCCAAAAGAGTAAAATTCCAGAGTCTAAGAATACAATTTTCTGCCACTTCTGTTTTCAATTATATAAATTTTATTGGCATTCACCTTTAATCTTGTATTATAATATTGTATAAGCAGCGACTAAATGGTTAAGTTTTGGCTTTGACGTTAGACTAACGGGATTGACATCCTAGCTCTGCCTTTTACCGACAGTGTGGCCTTAGGTATGTTATTCATCTCCATGTCTCACTTTCGGCATTTGTAAAATTGGTGTAAAATTTAGCTAGTACATGTGGCGATTTCAATTCTGTTTAGGTCACAGTGAGAGTTTAATAAATATGAATCCATATTAATTTATGGCCTTCCTTTGGTGTGTGTGGCACCTGCTTAGGCCCTGTTAGTTGCCTAGCTAGTGGCTTGCCTCCTTCGCTTTCTTGCTGGCAGAACCCGTCTTCTGCGACAGAGGTCAAACATGTCTGATGCTCATTTTTCCAAGCCTCGCTCACATTGGGGCACGACTCTGTGACCTGACTCAAGCCAGTAACCTAAGGATTAGTCTGCTAGCAGGAGGGAGGTGGAGGAGTTGGAGATGGTGATGCTGAGATTGTTTATAGATAATAATTTCCTTCCTGGAAAAAAAAAGGGAATTATCTAGGAAAATCCCACCCCTCTTTCCTAGAAGAGTGCCAGGAGCTGAGGGAGCCTCTGTGGCCCTTGGGTGGAAGCCAAAAAGTGAAAGGTAGTAGAGCTGAAAGGTAGAAAGAGCCTGTGTCCCTGATGACACTGGTGACAGCTGGGTCAACCTGGAGAGAGCCTGACTCCAGACACCTTACTGTGTGACGTAAGATGTATCTTCAAGCCGTCATTAGTCAGCTACTCTGTGACTTCCAGCCCAAACTGTTACAACTGATAAAGGCACTTCAAAAAATAGCATTGATAATTTCTAAAAAGTGCCGATCAATATTTGGAAACATGTATGTAAAGTGGTTTAACGTATAAACTGTATGATATTTTGAGGAAAAAAATAATATTAATCTCCTAGGTAAAATTTTGACCAAGCTATTTGCTCTTCCATACAAAAGGGTCATGCTAAACTTCAATAAACTAGGGGACAAAGACCTATTGAAAAAAGCCCATCCAAAGTAAATAAGCCTAAAGAAAATAATTTTTTAAAAAGATTTTATTTATTCATTTGAGAGAGAGAGACAGTGCAAGCTGGAGGGAGAGGGAGAGTATGAAGCAGACTCCAGGCTGAGCACAGGGCCAGAGGCAGGGCTTGATCCCACAACTGTGAGATCCTTGACTAGAGCCGATATCAAGAGTCGGTCACTCAACCAACTGAGCCACCCAGGCGCCCCTAAAAGAAAATAATTTTTTATTTAAAAAAATTTTTTATTATGTTCAGTTGAAAATAATTTTTAAAAAAAGCAAACAACCGGGGCGCCTGGGTGGCTCAGTCAGTTGAGCCACGGACTCTTAGTTTCTGCTCAGGTCTGATCTCAGGGTACTGGAATTAAACCCGGTGTTGGGCTCCGTGCTGAGCAAGGAGTGTGCTTGGGATTCTCTCTCTCCCTCTCTCTCTGCCCCTCCCACTTGAAATCTCTCTCTCTCTCTCAAATAAATAAATAAATCTTTTTTTTTTTTTTTAGATTTTATTTATTTGAGAGAGAGAGAGCAAGTAAGGGGAAGGAGCAGAGGGAGAGGGACGAGTAGGCTCTGCGCCCAAGCACAGAGCCCCATGTGGGGCTCGATCCCAGGATGCTGAGATCATGACCGGAGCTGAAATTAAGAGTCAGAAGCTTAACCGACTGAGCCACCCAGGTGCCCAGATAAACAAATCTTTTTTTTTAACGCAAACAACAAAACTAATCCTTTAGCTTTCTTAAGTTTTTCTTTAAGTGTATACTAGACCATAATATGCTAACTGTACCAATTTTATGTTGTATCCCTGCATTATTAATATTCTGTTTCCAAAGGATCACATTCTGTTTTCTTATGAA